AGTAAAGCGGCAATGCCTAGCAGCAATGTACCCACCCCTCTGGCCTAGAGTGTCGGAGTTTCTTTAAGAACTAAGTGGCTTGTTCTTGGCTGGAACAGATGGTCTTCTAACTGGAACAGGGGGAATCTACCTAGACAGCAGTAAAAAGTTACAACTAACATAATAAATTAAAAGCAGGAGAGGTGGACAAGTCCTCTACAAATTGGGATCTGATGTTGAAGCATCAACGTTCCCCTGCCCTGCGGAGGGATCCTGGCTCTTTCAGTGAAGTGGGCAAAGCTGGGCTCGCCCTGGGAGTGGGAGAGATGCAAAGACAAGAGGACAGAAGAGGAAGCAAAGGGCAGGGCAGCCTCTGCTCAGGGCGGTGAATCCATAGGAACAGTGAAGGGTGTAAATCGTGGATGCCATTTGGGTTTGTAGGTAGAGTCTTTTGCTTTCATCCCAGGATTTCAAAGCCCCTCGCAGCCATTAATTAGTTGTGAGCAATTCAGCCCTGTCAACTTTTCACACGTAATCAAGGGCTGATATATATCACCCCAAGGGATCTAATGGATAATTCCTCTGCACTCTCTCTCCCTTTATCCTTCTCCCAGGCCAGTTTTTATTTCAAGCCCACTCCCGCTGTTTTTTTTTTCTCTCTTACAGCATTTGATGCCCTTGCTGTCACCTCGCAGTTCCTTTTCTCTCTCCTCTCCCAAGTATTCCTTTCCTTCTCAGCTCCCTAGACAGTGCTGGGGGAATTTGAGGCCAGGGTACAGGAGTCTGTGAGTCTCAGGCTTTCACAGTGAAAGGCCCAAATGAAGATGTGTTCAAGGTCATGGTTTTCCATTTCTCAAGGGAGATGTTGGCCTGTGAGTAATTTGTCTGTGACTGCTACTCAGCAGTCGGAGGAACCACTGCCAGGTGCAGGCCTCGGTGGAGCAGTTCGTCCCCCAATCTTGGACAGGCCCGATTGCGAAGGAAAGTGGAAATACAGCTCTGTGTCTTTAAATTGGCTCAAGCCCTTCTCATGCCCTCAGTAAAGTCCAAGTTCTATTCCATTGGGATAAATCACTCGGAACAGGAATGGTAAATCTACTGTACATGTGTTGTCACTCCGATCTCCACACCCAGGCAGAAATCAATAATCAATAAGTGAGCATCGTACATTCCTCTCCCCATCCCACAACCAACCTCAGATCCAGAATTCCTCTCGAAAGAGGGACCCTATTTTCCTTTGCCACGGACCCTCATAATCGCTGCTCACCCATTTCATTTCCCTTTTTTATTTTGCCCATTCCTTTTATTTTGTTTTTAAGTTTAAACTTTATTATTTGTATATCTTCTACTATAGTATGTAATACCTTTTAATATAATGTTTAATGTTCACAGTTTTATACATTATGTAACATAGTTATAGAATGAATATCCATTACCCTACTAACAAAAAATAAGATATAAAATATCACCAAGATTTGCACTTATCAAAAGGTTTCTCTCCATCTCACTCTACCTTTAAGTGTATAATGTTTAATACTTACAGTTTTATACATTAGAAAACATAGCTGTAGAATTGTTACCGAACAAGAGGTCCAAGGGAGGGGCAATACAATATTTGGCCCACCTAAGGATGCCAAAAACTGCTACAGAACAGGGGCCCCTCCCAAGGACAGAATACTAATATCTACTGGGCTCTTCTGTCCACCGCCAATTGGAAAGACATCTATCAATGCCAGAGACTTGTGAAAAGGAAACAAAATGTTTATTTAATGCTATTCAGGCCTAACGCCTCCACTAAAATATTAAAATCCTTTAGGGTATACACCTACACACACACACACAGCTCTCCTTTCTCCCACTGTCCCAACTCCGGGTACCGTAAATCAGGAAAAGAGCACACGTCTGTTTTTCAAGCCGCTGGCACCATCAGCTGTGTCACTGTGCAGGATCTCGAGTTAATCCAAAGTACTGTAGTACCCTTTCATGGTCCACTGGCAATAGTTCTTTGTACCCAGTTCCAGTCAAAGTCTCTCCTGCTTTCCAGGCCACACGGCCAAATGAAGCATCCCAAAGCCGCGTGGGCCTCTTCTACCAAAGCTGCAGGGGTTCGCACTCCACCAAAAGCATGTGGCTTTCTTCTTCACCTGACTACAGGGACCTCCATTCTGGCAAAGCTGCATGGTTTTCCCTTTCACCTCACCAACAGGGGGTCCTCACTCTGCTGAAACCGTGTGGCTCTCCCCTACCTGACTGCCGGGGTCTGCTCTCTCTTCAACTGGCCAAGAGGGGACTCTTACTTTGCTGAAATCACGTGGCTCTCTTTTTCATCTGGCTGAAGGGTCCCCATTCTGCCCCAAACCTCGTGGCTCTCTCCTCACCTGGGCTGTTATTCCCTCACATCCCGGAGCCAATCTTTTCCAAGCTCTCACACAGGCACCCTCCCTCAGGGAAGAAGCCCCTAGTTCCATCCTGGGTAGAAGCCACTCCCTTCTCCTTGGCTCAAAACTTGGCCACAGCTATTTAACATATCTATGAAGCCAGTTAAAGGTTATAAATATGTTAAATAATCATCCTAGAGGTTAGCTACAAAACTGTTGCTATGCAAAACAGCTCTCAATGGCCCTGGCTCTATTTGTCTCTTCCCCCTGGGCACAAGGTGGGGGTCGGGGGGAGGACATCTTATATGTCTCTCCAATATCCCTATACACTTTGAATTCTGGACACTATTCCAAATCTTTTTTTTGCCCCCCCCCTTGGCTGCACCCTATATCAGAATGAATGTCCATTAAGTTACTAAACGAAAATGAGAAGTAAAATATTACCAAGATTTGCATTTATCAAAGGGTTTCTTTCCATCTCACTCCTCTGCCTCCGTCCATGAATTAACTACCATCTGAATTTTGTGTTGGTCATACTCTTACTATTTATATGCATACATAATTGTATCACAGAAGTATATATTCTTAAACAATGTATATATATATTTTAAGTTTGCTTTGCTTCCAAGCTTTCAGGAACATATACACTATTTTAGATATAGCAATGGCTCATATATTTTTATGGATGAAAACTTACAGTTGTGTCCAACCTTTTGGTGTGTCTGTGCCACACCGGAAGAAGAAGAGTTGTGTTAGACCACATATCAGTACACTGCAACATGTAATCACAAAAAAATCTCCTGATGTTTTGAGTAAATTTGTGATTTTGTGTTGAGCCGCATTTACAGCCATTCTGGCCTGCACGCAGCCTGCCGGCTGCAGGTTGGACACCCTGATGCAAAGTATTCCACTATGTAAACGAAACTCAATTTTTCCAGATGCTATTAGTATTATTAGGCTTTTCCAATCATATCTGCTGTGATATTATAATTTAGAATAAGAAATATGTATATTTGGTCTTTGCCCATGATTCCTGGCACACAGCTCACAAAACCCTTGGAATTTCCTGAGGAGACCAATCAAGTTGTCTTTTATTATGTTAATGAGATGACTTTTGAAAGGTTGATGCCAGGAGCAGCAAGCACTTGATCGAAAGTTGGAACTTTCAGTCCCACTAGGTTGCCACCCACTTCTCCCCCAAACCTCTGGAGGGGAAGAGGGGCTGGAACCTGAATCAATTGTCGATGGTTAATCATTTAACCAGTTGTATCTAAGTAACGAAGTTGTTATAAAACCCCAAAAGGACAGAGCTTCTGGGTTCACAAACACAGGGAGATTCAGGAAAAATGGCACACCTGGCCAGGTCATGGAAGCCCCTTGCCACATACTTTGCCCTATGTATCTCTTCCATCTATTAACAGTTCTTCCTGAGTTATAAACTGGTGATCTAGTCAGTAAAATGTTTCTCCCCATTCTGTGAGCAGCTCTAACAAATTAATCAAACCCCGGAGAGGAGGGTGGCCTGGGAACCTCCAATCCTGGTCAGTCAGAAGCATAAACGACAACCTGAGATGTGACTAGAATCTGAAGTGGAGGGGGAGGGGGTGTAGGAAACACTTGTGGGATGAACCCTTAGCCTGAGATTCCACCTCAGATCGAAAGTGTCAGAATTGAGTTGAATTCTAGGATCCCCAGCTGGTGTCCCAAGAATTGTTTGGTGGTGTGGGGGAAATTCCTCAACACGCACATTGGAAGTGGGTCCAAGAACCTAAAAGACCTGCTGTGAAAATCCTCAAACATTTTTCATGGTTCCAACATACAAGGTTATGTTTAAGGTTCTAAAATTTGTGAAGTTTCAAATTGACCAGAATGTTTGCTCTTTTCGTGTGTTTTTCCTTTGTTTTGTGTTTTTCTATACTGGTTTAGAATTTATATACTTCATTTCTAAGTTTTTAATGATTACTTACTTGGAATTTTAACATGTATTTAACTATTTAAATATTAAAGGTAACCAATATGTTAAATTATTGTAATTAAAGGATCTTGGAACTCTTATAATTCAGCCATTGCCCTCTCAAGTTAAATACTACTCTTGTCCACTATTTAAACTTTGCCCTTTTAAACCCATTAATGAAATATTATTTTATTATTATCGTATGGAGATAATCATTGCTTATATTTACATACATACTTATTGTTTTATTTGTTCACTATTATTACATCTTCCTCCAAAGTCTTTTGGAAATGTTTTCCCCTAAAGTGCATTCTTTATCAATTCCATTACTCTCAGTGTATCAGCAGTAAACTCCCTCAGTTGTCTGTAAATATGTGTATTCCAAACACAAAAATCAAGGCAGAGCTTGATATTTAAACAAGAGAATAAGATACAATGAAAATAATGCCATTTAAAATAAGAAGACTGGGCTTAGGTTTAAGTTTGTCCCTTTTTTGGCTTTGGATAAATTATTCAGTGATATTCATGAGTGCATGTGTGAAATAAACATATGGTGTATGTCTGCTAATTGCTTGGTTCTGTCCTAGATTGTTCACGATTAAAAACAGGAAGTACGGTTTCTGGCTACAGTGAGCTCTAGAAGGAAATTCAATCACATTAGTCAGATAGATAAAAGATAATTCTGCAAATGGAGAAATAAGAAAATGTATTTATAATTTCTGCAAAAACATCCATGGGGACATCCATCTGGGTTTGGTTTGCAGAGAGGTTGGTGAGATTTGGCTTCCTGAAGGCCATGTGAGTAGGAGTTGGAAAGGTATTCCTGGAAGAGGAAAAAAGAGGGAAGAAAAAGAGAGAAAAGACTCAGTAACAAAAATTAGAAAGACATGCATAGTTAATTAATAACATAAAAATGGAGCAGAAGTTTGAGGTAGGAGGCTGTTAGAGAGGAGGTTGGAGGTTTAAGAATGGACAGGTCAGGAAGGGTCATCGATGCTGTGCCAAAGTGTTTGGACTTTACCTCGTGGGTCAGGAAGGCTCATTACAGAGGTGAAATGGTAATGGCAAGGTCATGTTTGTGTTTCAGATGGCTGACTCCAGTGAGTGTGAAGAGGCCAGATGGGGGTTGGGGAAGAAAGACTGGTTTCCCATCTGGCTCTGAAACCATTTTATAATACAGGCAAAAGCTGATAAAGACTTTAAATGAATCAGTGATATTACTGATGGACAAGAAGTTTCCTGATTTAAAAACAAAGATACGTAAGCTTCAGGGTTAAAATCATATGAGCAATGAATAAAGGGGAGAAGAAGGAGTGAAGAAAAATCTATTGATTTCTAGCTCTGCTGTTGGGTAGATGGGACAGCCACTAACTCACCCACTAAGGAAATTTAGAAAGAAATGCAGCTTTAAAGCAAAGGAATAAAGTTAGTTTTGGAACATCTTGGGTTTTAAAGTTAAACATCTTTGGACATTAAAGTTGAAAATCTTGAAATTCTTGTCTCCAAGACTTTAGTTTTCTGAAACAGAAAGCCGTAACATTAGCCCATCCAAGGGTACAGCTATGGCATAGGAGGGTAAGAGATTATTGGAATTGTAAATTGTTGATGGATACTCCCCATGAGAGGCTCTGTGGAAGCAAAAGGCATAGCTTGGGCTCTCTGAGCTCTTAGAACCAACAGGGCAAGGAAGGAGGTATTTTAATGGCCAACACAGATGTAATATTTTTTCTCCCATAGTTTCTTGTCTCTGAGAAATGAGTCTCATTCACCTGAGATGTCCCAACTTAAGATGTCTTCCATTACATGCACTGTGATCTGAGGTGGTACATGCTTTATCAGGCATTTGGACAGGCAGAAACTTTACCTGCAGCGGTGATAACCAGAGTTCGTGAGGAGTCTTCACGCATATGCTTGGGAATGGTGTGTGGTTGATAAAACAGAGCCAAGGAAATATTTTAAACACTCGCTTTGACATTCCTACAATGCCTCTAGTCAGTCCCTTGTCATGAGAACAATTCCAGCCATTCTCTCTGAAGCATAGAATATATCCAGTTAATCAATAAATACATCTCCCCAACTCCTGAGCACATGGGAAGTTCCCCAGAACCCCTTTTTTGTTATATTATCTGTATGCTCATCAGACTTTACCTGAAAGCCTTCTTTCATCCAGAGTTTCTTCCTATTCAATTATTCAAGGCTTAGAAAAACGGGGCTGTCTATCTTTCCTCAGGAGCAGGAACCCAACTTAATAGTCTTTTGGATCTTCACTGCCATTGAAGCATCACCTCCGAGAAAATCTCTGTATGTCCAAGGTCATCCTTAGAAACATTTCTCTGGCAGGTCCAAGGACTCTCATCCTTTACCTTTTGGGAAATGCAATATGAATTGGGAATTTTGATGCCCCAATTGATGTTTTATCTGACCAGCCTCCAAGCAAGGATTTATCCTCTTAAATATTGTGCTTTGATAAAAGTTCTGCTCAGGATCTGTGATTATTAGAGTTTTTAACACGGTACTTCATAAGCCATTACATAAAACACTAATTATCCAATATTTCTATCAGCAGGGTCTCTTGTACTAATTAAATTAACACTGAAAACTGCTAACAACATTGATTAAGAGTTCAAAGCACTGTATAACAGTAACAATTAGAACAAAAATTACATCTACTTCTCTTTTATCCCAGGAGATTAATTATCATCATTTCCTAATAATGAAGGCTCTCACTGGAGACTAAAGGCTTTTGTGATTTGTCCCCATTTTGGCTCCCATGTAGAGTCTCATTTGGGGAGGGCAATCTTCAGTTTCAAACTTGGCTTTATATCTGGTTGAACTCATTCAAGCTATAGCCCTGCCACTTAGCAGATGTGTAATCCTGAGCAAAGTAATAACTTCTAGGGGCTCAGTTTCCTTTTCTGTACTTTGTTGATCAAAACTGTTCCCATCATTAAGACTGTGACAATCATTATATGAGAAAAGTCCTGTAAAAGTGTTAGATCTGAGCCTGGCACATGAAAAGGTTTTCATATGAAGCCTTCTTTCCAATTCTCTTTCCATCAGAGGCTCCAAGAATTTCCTTCTAACCCAGCCTTTTCTAAACCAGTCTATGCCCTGCAAGCCCTAAATCCTCCCAACTCCTCCACTTCTGCCCTCGGCTCCTGCCTGGTCCCACCATCCTCAGATACCCTGTGTGCAGCACACACCTCTCTCTCTCACTCCAGCTCAGCTTCCCTTTCTAGGCTTCTCTGCTCACCCCTCCCACATGCCTAGGCCCTAGAACCTAAGCCCTCCATCTAATGGACCTTCTTGCTCAGCCTCAATATTTGCTTTCCGATACATTGGATTTATAGAGTGTTTGCCTGAATTAAAATGAGAAATTTTAGAGCAAACTGAGGCTTCTCAGCTGCTAAGCTCCATCATGTACTTTAAATAAAGAAGGGGGGGAGTGTGTGTGGATGGGCGCTGGACGCATCCACCGAGCCCCGGAATTACCGTTTCATCCCAGGCTGCTCCCCTTCCAACCCAGCTGGTGCCTCCCTGGCCCCACTCACCTCCCCCAGCTAAGTTAACAAAGCAGTTACCGCTCATCCGCAGAGCTCCCTCTAATCGACTCTCAGTGAAATAATATTTGCTTTCCATGCCTACTTTGAATCCCACTCACTTTGTTAAGAGATTGCCTCTGGCTGTCTCCACTGGCCTAATCTAATAGTTTCTAGTTTGTACAAGCAAAGTGTTTTCAACCACCTATATAAATAACTTAAGGAGAGGAGGACACTTGTGCAGCCCTGGTGCAGGTCTATAGGACATGACAGATCCCAAAATGACACCACGGCTGAGTTCGTGGGAGAGCCCCCCCTTGCTGAGTGCAAGCAATTATCATACGGTATCAGGCCGAAAGGACATTCTGTCTTCCTATGGAAAGGCTGAAGGGAAAAGACATTCTTGCCTGGTTTCTCCAATGCAGGAGACCATCCAAAGGGCCTCTACCTTCTCTGTACCTCTGCACGCTACTCAAGTCCATGGAGCAGGGCAGCCAGAGCAAAGTAGTGTGAGGTGAGAAAAGCTGAATCAAGCCATTTTTTTTTTTTGCTGTAAAATATGTAATGCAATCAACTTTACTTTTTAAAAAATTGTGGTAAAATACACATAACATAAGATTCACCATCTTAGCCATTTTTAGGTGTACAGTTCAATAATGACATTAATATAATTCACATTGTTGTGAAACCAATGTCCAGAAGTTTTCCATTTTGCGAAACTGAAACTCTATACCCATTAAACAATAGCTTCTCATTCCCGTCTTTCCCCAGCCTCTGTCAACCACCATTCTAACTTCTGTTTCTGTGAATTTGACCACTCTAGGTAATTCATGTAAATGGAATCAAATGGTATTGGTCTTTTTGTGACCAACCTATTTCATTTAGCATAATGTCTTCAAGGTCCATACATTTTGTACCATGTGTCAAATCTTCCTTCTTTCTTAAGGCCAAATAATATTTCATTCTATGTACACACCATGTTTTGTTTATCCGTTCACTCATCAGACACTTGGATTACTTCCATATCTTGGCTGTTACAAATAATGATGTTGTGAACATAAACATACAGAAGTCTCTTTGAGACCTTGCTTTCAATTCTTCTGGATGATACTCAGAAGTGGAATTTCTGGACCATATGGTAACTCTATTTTTAACTTTCTGAGGAACTACCATACTGTTTTCCATAGCAGCAGCACCATTTTCCATTCCTACCACCAGTGTGCAAGGATTCCAATTTATTCACATCTTCCCAACACTTATTTTATGTTTGTTTGCTTTGTTAGCAAACCTCATGGGTATGCATAAAGTATATATTTTTTAATATATATATTTTAAAAGTATAATAAAAAGTAAGTATATATTTTAATATACTTACTTAAGTATATTAAGTAAGAAAAATCAAAATCAGGTCAGGTTGGGGATAGAGTTTCTAATTGAAGTGAAGGGACATTTCTCCCTGTGGATGGAGTTATCTTCTAAGACAGGGGTTGGCACATTGCCGCCACAGCAGCCTATTCTAGTAAGTAAAGTTTTATTGGGATGCAGCCATGCTCATTTTCTTGCCTATCGTCTATGGCTATGTTCACACAGCCAGAGCAGAGCACAGAAGTTACAACAGAGACTGGTTGTGGCACACAAATCCTGAGGATTTAACATCTGGTCTTTGACAGGAAAGGTTTGCCAACCCCTGTTCTGAAACTGGGATGTGTCATGAACCCCTTATCAGCACTGCCATGTGCAGAGTGTGGGAGGGTAGGAGAGCTTCACTGAGTCCAGCTGAGCATGGAATGAAGGTTTCTTGGTGAGCTGGAGCTTGGGCTGGGCCAGAGAAAGTATCAGGATTGGGGGGGGCAGAGAGAAGCAGGACTGGCCCTTTGGGGTTTGGGGGAGATGGCCTGCATCAACATTCAGAGCCAGCAGCTCTTGGTTTAAAATTGAAGAACTGTAGAGAGCTTAGGGACGGTGTCTGGGACAGGATGGGGACAAGACCACAAACACACACTGGAGTCCGGTCATGGGGAGCAAATGATGTAGTATTAGGCATTTGGGTTTGGCCTTGAGAGTAATAGAGTGCCCTGGAAGTTTTTATGACCTAGGAATTAGATGTGACCACATTCTCACTTTGGTCACCCTCCCTTCTGAAGATCAAGAGACAGTGGGTCAAACCTCCATCCAAAATTGGATGGCCGGTCCAGTGTCCCTTCCAGTCCCTTAGACATCCTTGGGTTCAGGAATTTAAGTGTCTTGACTTTTCCGAGCCATTTGGACACTCAGTTTCTGCCTCCACTAAATAAGTTTAGTTTGCATATAGGGTGGGGCAAACCAAGGTTTACAGTCGTTTGTATGGAAAATAACACAACAGTTAATAAATAATAATGCAAGTATATACTGTGTTTCCCATACTCACAACTAAACCTACCTTTGCCCCGCCCTGTGTAATCTTACATGCTACATGTTTAATCCACTTTTTCACATGGCAGCACCCCACTTTGGACATTGCCATGCCCTCAGTTCTTTCGCTCCCCCAAAATATTATGTGCCCAACTCACAGCTGTATAATAATGACAGCACAATAGTAACATTAATAATAATAATATCAACAGTATTGCCAGTAGCCGTTCCAAAGATTTTACATATTAACTCACTTTCAACAAACAGATGTTTGTTGTGTTTACCTAAATAACACTGAAAAACCACTTACATTGAATATTAGACAATTTGAGCATATTTTTCAAGAGGAACTTAGCATGCTGCGTGCCTGATATTTCTCCTAGATCTCTTCTCTGCTCTTACATTTGCCCCTCTCCTTTTCCCTCTCTCAGAGATTACCTAAATCCTGTTACTATCTCATCAAGAGGATCTGAGCTCTTTTTGTATATCACAGTTTCCTCCAACAGCAGGCCTGGGGTCTTACTTTCCATATCTAAACCCAGACCTGTCAATCTGTCCTCAGTCTCCAAATACCCCTTTAAAGGTAGGCCCGGGAACCAGCTGGATGATGACAAATGTGACCCTCTCCTCCTTATGTAATAGGAGCAAGACTTTAGGAGGGTACATTTTCCAGGGTACATGATAAGCATTAGAAGCTAAAAGCAGAGACTCTGTGATGACTGTGCTATCAATGAGAAAGCAAGTTTTAGGCTTCTGCCAAATGGAGGGAAGGGTTGGAGAGAACGAGAAGAATCCAGTCAGTATTGAATACACACTGTGTGTCCCAGTCACTGTGCTTTGTATGATCATTCTGTCTTCAAGAAAACCCCATGGGGTCTGTAGTATTAATCAAGTAGTTCAGGTGAATACACTAAGGATCACAGATCTTGAGAGATTTACCCAAAGTCACACATGAAGTTAGCAAAAGACTAGAGATTTCAGTCTTTGCTCTCTCCTGTATCATGCTCCTTTATCTAGGTACATAAGAAAGAGGTTGATTAAAGGCTTAAAGGGTGAGCCTTAACTTGCTCTGGCTGTTCTTTGTGACCCTTCAATTGCAAACACCAAGATCTCTTATTCTCCATGTCTGACTCTAATTTTCAATCACTCTCATTCTGTAGAAGTGAGTATATCAACCCTCCAATGGGACTTAATTGCAACATCTGTTTTTTTCTAATTTCCCTTTTAAAAATCAATAAATGGTTAGTGATGCTGTTAATAAAGTGGAAGCAGATTTCTTCCTGTTATGAAATTGATACTTGTAGCATTTATCAAGCCAAAAAAAATCCCAGTTTGTGAAATCATAAATTCTTGGGTTTAAATACCTGCGATCTGAAGAGAAGGCAATGTGAATAATGCAGGATGGTTCTTGCACAAGGGTCGAAAAGTCCTGA